TTGCATGGCTGGCTGCGGCCCGAGCATTTTTCTTTCTCTCCGCTCCCTTTTTTTGTGTGAAGCTGCGGCGGACGTGTGTGGCAAAAAGAGAAAGGAGAAGAAAAAACCATCTTTTCCCAGCCCAGCGGAAAAATAGAGAGAACGCGGAGAGAGAGAAATAGTCTCATTTATTTCCAAAGATGCATTTGCGGCTGTAAAATTTTACGCGCGGCCTGCGTAATTGACCATTAATCCGGCCCTGCTGCTGCCGCTGCTGCAAAGGTAATTCACGCCCCCGTGCAAAATGCAACCAACACATGTACGACTCGCACGTGCTTTCAGCTTTTATTAATGCAGCGAAAAGTAGAGTGCATCGCTTCAGAAAACAGCAGACAATTTTTGTTTCGAATGTAGATTTAGTGGAATGAGTATTGTTAAATTTCTTATAAATGATATTAACAAGCTCTAGATGGATATGTCAGTTTTTTTGCAACTAAAAATAGCATAAAATTTGAGTCAATAATGTGATAATTCATATCCAAAAAAATCCTTTTTTTGTTATTGTTAATTAAAAAACAGTTAGTTTCTTTGACTGGAAATAATGAGATGAAATTTATTTCTTACATAAACAAGATATTAAGAAGTTGACACTCGAGGAAATGATCATGGAAATGAAGCTTTAAAATAAAAAATCTTCAAAATATTATTAAAAATGATCCTATTTACTGCTTTGCACAAAAAATTCTATCTCTCGCTCCTGTTCAAATTTATTGTGGCCAAGTGAATGTTGGCCCTCTTGATACATCCCATATTCTTGGCGCAATCAATGAGAGCACTGAATTAATTATTGCACTACTCTCAGCAGATTATTATTGTGCTCCATTATGCTGATCCGACTTGAACGCAAGCCGATAATAGAAAACTTTTCGGCAACGAACTGACAGGCCTTCATGGTCGATGATCATTTTAATGGCTCATCAGACCTCGCCTTGCCGACTCGCAAATTATAATTGACGCTCGCAGACACACACCGACGGCTGTTTGCGTTCGCCCTCTAATTGATGCCCGCGCGCCGTCTATTTGTGCCGATGCGAGGAGCAGAGTAAACACTCCATCAACTTTGCCTTTGTTGCTTTTGCGATTAGCATACAAAAAATGATATTCATAGTTTTAAACCAATAGAAATCAATCAAAAGTATTTCATAAATTTTTAAAGTATTTATCGTTGATTATAATTTAATGGTTTTTAATATTTTCATTTTTTTAAACATTCTTAACCATTTTAATTAATATTTAATTTTCTTTTTTAATCAGTTAAAATTTTTCATTACATTCTCTGTATTTTTATTTTGTCGTCAATCTTTTTAATTTGTTATTTTTTTAAAATTTGTATTTATCATATGTGCAAATTTTATACAAATCTACAAACATACATTTCTTCCGCTGCTCCAAAAAAGGGTGCAAATTCATTTTAATTATTGATATTCTCTTATTAAATACCTCTCTATTTAACGGATTACAAAATACAGAAACTTTCCATATCTTGGAAATGAAGCGATCGGGCTATTCCTCGTTGCAGAAAATTGTTTTTATTCTAATATTAGTCAGTGAGCAGCGCGTTTGCTCATCAAATAGGGTCGCAGACCGTGACCGAAACTGGTAGAGCCATTTGTTTTTGAATAAAAACAATTTTCTGCAACGAGGAAAAGCCCGATCGCTTCATTTCCATGATCATCTCCTCGAGTGTCAACTTCTTCAAACAAATTTCCATATCTTGCTAATTAATTATTTTCCTTTTTGAACAAACAATGATCTAATCGGATCTAATCATCTTAAATCATTTTTTAACAATTTTTACTTAGCGATTTTTTTCTATTTTAGAAATTCAGTTTATTTTGCTTCAGCTATTAAATTTTAAATTAATCCATCGCGAAATTTTTGATTGACGCATAAAATCGCAGCGATTAACCCTTTGAATCCCCGGGGAGGGAGAGAGAGCGGAAGCAACGCTTTCTCGCTCAAGAGTGCACAAATTAAACACAGCGTGTGTGGGGGTGTTTGGCACGCAATTTCGGTGTCACACCCAGCAGCGTGTGAGTTTTGTGTGTCCGACGCGTAATGTAAGCAATAAATGGGCACAATGAGCAAGGACCACCTGTTAGGGGTTAATTATTTGCATGTGCCTGCCGGGGTCGTTCTCCACCCCCTCCCCCACTCGTCTCGTAATGAAGATTTAATAACGCGCGGCCCGAGAGGCCTTTTGTTCTGCCAGACTTGAGCATTAATTTGGCCCCACGTTCATGGAGAGCGAGCGCGGCTGGCCCGAGGCTGCTTGCCTTCTTGGCCCAAGAAAAACGACCGCGGCAGATCAACAGTAACGATCTTTCGTCTATTTGCATTCGCTTGTTTGTCTTGCCTTCAAGCACAGCAAAACTTGTGACAAAGAGGAAAGAAAGAAAGTGAAGAGATTTATTTATGTTTGCATGCGGCGAGTTGCTCTTGCGCAAAATTACTCACAGTCATTTTTTGATAAAAAAAATGTAACAAAAATTAGCAAAGTATGTTTTTAATTTAATAGCAGATCAAATATTTTTTTTTTACAAATTTTCAAAATCTATGTGGTTCATTTTTGAATAATTATTCTTTGTATTCATTTTTTGTAATATATTATCAAAAAGTTCTTGTAAAGTCTTTTAATTTAATGATTAACGTAAAGGTTTAAAACATAATTGCGAATTCAATTTTTTTATTTCATACTAATTTAACTTGTGTTATGAGTTATGTCTTGTAAAAATTCGCCTTTTACTAACATTAAATTATTTTTAGGTTGAATTCAACAAAGCAAGAAATTCATTGTTTGATAATTATTAAAAATTGATGATTTTCTATATAAATTCATTTAAAAAAAATACAATGATGGACGCTAAATTTTTAAATAATCATCCTTGTTTGCGGATTAAAGTTTCAGGCAAAACAATCTGCCTCGCTTTCACTTGTTAATCAAGGGCGGCAGGTGAGAGGCGCAGCTCCGAGTATTTTTCCCTTTTTCTCCCTTTTTCTGCATTTAGGGGTGGAAATGTTTGCGCGTATAATTAGCGGCGTCCATCTGACAGATGAATATTCATGCGGCCAGACAGTTTTATGCTCTAATTAGCCGGCCGGTTGCATTTCGCGCTCACACAGGCCCAGTCCATTAAAGCCACGAAATAAAACAGCGCCTCACCTGATCCGTCCGTCTGTCGCTGGCGCCGCTCGTCAAACGCCACACACACATTTATGCAAATATCGACAACTGCATATGCATTACGTTTTGCGCCAGAGTGCGTCCAACTGATGGACATTTGCATTTATATACCAATTCCAAAACGAGATCCCTTGATCTTTGGCTCTAAAGTGTTCAGGGATCAAATTGTAAAAAAAAATGCAATTTCTTAACAATTTTAATTTAATTGTGCTAAATAGGATAATGATTTTATTTTTGTTTACACTCATACATGGTTATTTTTAGATGAATAAGACCAACGCGAATCGTTTTGGCATGACCAAAATTCTGTAGTTCACAATTAAATTGATAATTTAGAGTGTTACGGGTTTTATTTAATAAAATTTTAATGATTTTATAAATAATTTTAATTTTTTAACCTTGTTCCTTGTGCTTTTAGAAGGTATGTATGGTTTAGATAGCCCAAATTTTAATTTGTTTCTTCAAAAGGATTTGAATTAAAAATTGACTTTTGTCAAAAAACAAAAAAAAAATAGCAATTTTACTCACATTTCAATTCAACAATAAAAGAGTCAAAATAGATTTCATCTCATTTTAATTCAATATTATTTTTATATTAATTGTAGTATGGATTTTACAAGTTTCCCAATGCTCATGAATTTATTTCTATTCGTTTCTCGTTAGTGCAAACTGAAAATGCAAGGCGGCCTTTGATCGACAAGACCGTGGGTTGGATTGTGCGAGAGTCGATTGGAAGTGAAAGAAGGAAAATCCATCGCGGTCTCGTCTCTGGTCGTCGTGCAGAATTGGAGAGGAAATAAATAAATAAAAAAAAAAACGGCGACGTCGCTCTCCGACAAATACAAATTGCGGCCGGCCGTTTTATGTTTGTTTGGAGTCAATAACGAGAGAGACGAGCCAGTCCCTCGAGTATTCAAAATCCACTTGATCCATGCAACTGCGCGCGCGAATGTAACTCTCTCGTAAAAGGGCTTGATTGCTGCGGCACGTTCGCACCTTCGCAAAGATCAATCGCGGGCGCATCTGCTGCGCCGACTTCACCCAAGAACTGACCCCAAAGTGAATTAACTGTTCGACCAATTTGCGGTCCGTTTCACTTGCAGCCAGCAGGGGATTACGAGAGGGATCCGCCGCAATATTCTTAGTCAATTCATATCGGCTTTATGGAGGAAGAAGAAGTTGATCTCTGTTTAATTTAAATATAAATTCAATCGTTTCATATCTTTTCCAATTTTATTTACTTTCCTTCAAAGTTGCAGAAATTTAAAAAAAAAGAAAACTGATGAAAAATTATATTTATTTCCAAAAATAAAGACGACTTTTAATTGAAAAATCCCACAGTAAGTAGCTCTTTTAGCAAAAAAATTCTTAAGAAATAAAATAAAAAATAAAATGTAATCAGCAATTATTTTAATTTTATTTTTCTTCTAAAAATCACGGTGATTCCGATTTTTCAATTATGATAGCAAAGGCGCATGAAATTAAAATTGTTTGATTTTCATACGTATACGTTCTTTTTAATGGACCATTTCCAAACGTTAACTGCAGAAGAATTTAAAATTATGCAAATAAAGTGCGTACAAAATTAAATCAACAGTCCAGAAATTTAAAATAAAGCCTTGAATTGTTCCAATTAACTTTATTTTAGTATCACACATTATTATAATTGAACTAATTTAATTAATTAATTAGAAAAAAGACATAATTATCATACAAATCTCAAAGGTTTCCTCGTCGTGAATCATCGTGAATGAAAACTCAAATCTGTGTTGTATCGAACATGCATTTGCAGTAGGTCGTTTTTATTCTTTGGCACCTGAATTAACATAGTAATTTCCATAGAATATCATGTGTACATTTTTTCATTATTAGAGTATAAGATTGACACTGACACCGATTCTTGTGTAACACACCTTAAGTATTAAATAACCTGCATCTCGTGTTTAATTAGTATAAATCTACGCACACCCCAATCGAATTTTATAATTTTAATTCTTTCTCTCTTTTATTGTAATTATATAATTATTATTTTGTCTAAAACATCAACAGGCGTATCACAAGTAGCAGAAAGAGTAGGAGTGGACAGAGGTGGGGGGTGTGTGCTGGGCCGCGCGCCCCCTCCAGGGTGTCCCTGGTCATCTGGTCCGAGCAGCGGCCGATCGTGTCCAGGTCGAGCGACTCGATGGTGCGGCCGTTGACCTCGAGCGGCGAGATGCAGAAGTTGCGCCGCTTAAAGTCGGACGTGTTGGCCAGGGTGCTGGCCAGCAGGGTGTGCACGTGGCAGTCGCACGGGAAGTGGTTGTTGATGACGCTCAGGTGCTCCACGCCCTCGATCACCAGCCCTGACAGGGTCGGCGTCTCCAGCAGGTGGTTGCCGTGGAAACGCAGCGTGCGCACCCGGCTGCTCGCCTTGATCACCAGACCCCTGATCGCGTCGATTTTGTTGTTGATGATGTTCAGGTTGGTCACCAGAGACAGACCTTCAAAGGCGCCCTCTTCAATCACCCCCAGGTCGGACTCCTGAGCTCAACAAAGAGGTAGGAAAATGGAAAATTCATCATTTTCTGCAGGAAAACTTCTTTTTGGTGAGTTTATTAACAAAACGATTTTCTTTGCTCAATTGGATAACTTTTCATCTTTTATTTTCAATTTCAAAGCTATTTTTTCTATTTGAAAATTGTGTCTAAAGCATGAATTCTTATTGAAATGATTTGCCAAAATTAAAATACTTTTAATAATTAGTTTCGTGGGTGAATAAAAGATACGGAATACAAAAATTGTGCTGAGAAAACCCTTTAATTTTGGTTTGCCTAATTGTAAGTCAAATTTTTGAAATTTTCAAGGGTGGAGAGTAAAAAGTTATTTCTCTCAGTTGAAAATTCAACCACCTGTATTATATCGTTTCCTGCTCAATTTTGAAGCATGGTTTAATTAACATGCAAAATCGAAAATAGTTTTTACCTTTTTACAAAAATTAATCGAAAACACAGACCAAATTCCTTTTTTAGATTCAATCAAGTTTATTTAAAATAAATTAATAATAAAATTATATTTAAGTGACAAACTGATGTTATTTTACAATATGAATTATAGTTTTGAACAAAAAACGTATGTGGCAACTTTGAACCCTGCTAACTTGAAAATGACCAATTTGAAATAATTTATTACGTTGAATTAAGTTTGAACAGAGATCCAACCTACCTGTATCGTTAGAACGTGGACCCTGATTAAGTTATGAAATGTGTTGGTTTGCAGAGCCTGCAAGTCCATGAAGGCCAGTTTCAAAAGACCCACGGTATCCAAGCCATTGAACGCATCAGGCTCTATCACTTTCACTCCTAAAACAAAACAAACAAGGCGCACAAACTTAATTTTTAATTTAAATAAATAAAGTTGCAAAAATCATTTAATACATTCATCAGTGAAAAAACTATGAATAAAATAAATCTTATCAAAACACACAAGAAAATAATATCGTGCGATATTAAAAATTTGGAAACTTCAAGGCAGCTATAAAGTTAAGTTTTTGCGCAAAATATATTCCAAAGTTCTCTAAAAATGAAAAACGAGTGCTGCTGAAATAATTTTTTAATTATGAATTTGTCAATTTCTGCCAAAAATTAGTTATTTTAATTAAAAATATTTTTTTATTGTTTCGTAAAGATCTATCAGGATTTTCAACTTTTTTCAAAGTTTGAAGGGTTTCCACAAATATTTTCAAACTCTCCGGCGTTAGAAATTACTTTTTTAAATAAAAACATCAAAAATCTATTAAAGATCTGTAAAAAAAAGATTTTAAATTGTAATGAGTAAGAAATTTTTAGATAATTTAAAACATCAAAGAAATCTCTTTTTTTCATAAAATTAACATTTATTATACCTGACGGGAGGATGATGTGCTCGACGTGGGTGAGCCCTGAGAAGGCGGACGCCTCGACCCTTTTGAGCGGGTTGTTGTTCAGCAGGAGGAGGCGGACGTTGGAGGTGCCGGCGAACGCGTACCCTTCGACCTTCTCGATGTGGTTGTGGCCGAGGAAAATGTGCGAGACGTTTTGCAGGCCGGCGAACGCGAACTGCGAGACGAGTTTGAGCGGCGTGTGCTGGATGGAGATCTCCTTGAGGCGCGGCAACCCGCGGAACGCGAACGGCTTGATGACGGAGATGTTGTTGCCGTCAAGGTGCAGCCGCGTCAGCCCCTTCAGACCGTTGAACGCGTCCGTCCGGATCAGCGGAAAACTGTTTTTGGTCAGCGACAGGTGCTGCACCGTCACCGGCAGGTTCTTCGGGATTTCAGTCAGGCCCCCCGTGTTGCACAGAACCTGCCAAAATCAACACACCAGAGCAAATTGTGAATATAAAAAACAATTTTCCCGTCTTCAAAACAGATCTTTTACAAAAATTATAATTTAAAATTCATTACATTAAAATTAGTGTTTAGATAAATTTTATTTCCGATAAGTTCTGACAAATTTTTCAAAAGAATATATATGTCACACTTTTACTTGATTCTGCACTCAAATAAGTCTCAAAATAAAATAAATTAAGTTAAATATTTTGCTGAACATTGATGTATACCCTCGTCGGGTTTACAATTGTCTACATTTTATTATGTTACAGAAATGATATTGACCATATTTGCTAATACAATTTGACTATTTTGATGATTATAATTCAAATTTTTAACCACCCCTGTATCGATGAGGTATTAATTAGCTAATATTCAGACATAACTAATTATTTAGGTTTTAACTTGAAACGTAATTCATCCATTTTTGCTAAAATTTTTGCATTTTAAAAATTTATTCCTGCTATTTTAATTTGAGAAATCATAGTTGGACGAGAATCACAATTTGCCACTTTTCCGTGTTTTCGCAGAGGCAAAGCAAAACACTGACTGGAAATCTGATTTCGGGCGTGCTGCAGAGTTGGTCCAGAATTTGCGAGTGCGGTTTGTCGGCGCAAAGTTGGTCGATGTATAGATTGACAGCCGTGGGCAAGTGAGGTAACGGCCATTTGCTCGCTGGTCACACACCAACGACGCATTCGATCTTTGTCGTCGCCAAACGGATCGGAATTATTTAGTGTGACAAATGCTCAAAACGGCACTGCAGGGGGATCTCCATAATTCAACAAATAAAAGTATGTAAAATCTTTTTACAAAGAATTTTACATTTTGATTTAAATCAGTGATAAAATAAAAAATATGCTTTTCAAATTTAATATTATTTGTTTGGAATCAATTTTGTGTCATTTCTGAATCAATTTTGCTTTGTCAAAATCGTATTTCACGCGAAAGAGGTCAACTCCGTTGCGACTTTTTAAATTGGTTTGTGTTCATTAATTGGATCGACAAGGGCTCTCTTGAAAGAGCGGCGGTTGATAGGGTGACCTTTCTGCTGTAAATATTGGGGACGTGTCAAATTTCACATTAACCCCGACAATCGATTTTCATTATTTTTTTTTACTCCTTTCTTCTTAATTGAAAAAAAAATGTAAATATTATAAATATAACAAAAGGATAGAAAAGTTATAATGAAATCATCACATTCATCATTTTTGTTTTTAATTAGTGAAAATTAAAACAATTGCAATTTTCAAAAGTAGAGAAATATGATAATAATTTTTTGCCCACTTTTTTGGTTTGAAACGCAGAGAGCCATTAATCGTGCTCTCCACTAATGAATATTTTAACGTTGTACGCGGATATTCGAGTGAATAAACCGGGGTTGTAATCTCCTGCCTGCAGATTGATTTGAGGGTACGAGGGGGTACTACCCTCGCTAGTTTTTTTTCTCTAGTAGAAAGAAAATGCGTTTTGTCCGCAAACAAGCATGTTGAAATATTCACTCATCTTTTGATTGTGGTTCTTTCTTTTGTGCAATTCGTGGCGTTTTCACCCGTCGCTGCTTCTAAATGGACGTGTGTAGGGGATTTGAAAGGAATTTTATTCAAATGTTAATGTGCACCTAAATTTTTAACGCGCAACCGGGACTTCCGAAACTTCTCTACAAACGCATATATGTTGAATTACATACGAGGACGCTCGAAAACTGCAGAGGTTCAAAAAATACAACGTGGGCTGGTAATTTTACCTATGATTACCATAGTAAATTCCATTAAGGGTGATTTCACGATAGATTTTACTCTTAATTGGCCCAAAATATGACCCATCTTGATTTTCACGCATAATATATATGGTTGGGCTAGGTGAGAACATACCCTCCGTAAAATTTCACTTGTAAATTTTGAGTACTTTTCTGGGAAATCAGATTTGCGAAAAAATTGCGAAAATAAACAGAAAATATTAAATATCTTAGCTTGTATTTTAGTATGCTCTGTTCGGTTTGAGACGGACTTTTAACGCCCGACAACTTTTTTGCTGACAACTTTTGTGCAGGTCAAAGGTCAAGGTCGCGAAGTTGCAAATTTAACTTTCTGACGCAATTTTCGAAAAGATGCCCCACTCAAATATTTTCAAATATTCAGACAGTGAACTTTGCAATTTAGTGACCTTGACCTTTGACCTACACAAAAGTTTGTCTACAGAAAAGTTGTCGGGCGTAAAAGTTACGTCTAAAACCGAAAAGAGCATATTTAATTTCAAAATAGATTCCCATAGAATTAAAAAATCCCCATATTATGATTTTTTTGAAAATGTAATAAAAACGAAACGGGTTTTAAATTTTTTTTATTAAAGATGGAACAAGATTGAAATACGAAATTTGAAACATTTTGAGGGTTTAAAATTTTTATAGATAAATTTCAATCAAATTTACAACTGGATATGAAAAATTTAAAAACCCGTATTTGCTTTTTAGAAAATTTTTAAAATTCGAAAAATCATTGGACATTTTTTTAACATTTTTTTTTTATTTTTAAAAACGATAAGGATTTTTCTATGGTTTTATTGCTAAAGATATCGATCCATGTTGAATTTCGACCTGAGATTCATCATGTGTGAAAAGTTTGGGTGAAAATTTTAAAATGCGGGTCGTGTTACGGAAGGACGGTGCGAATTAAATTTGGAAATCAGCTCTGGCAATTAAATAAATTACGAGAGAGCGAGCGAGCGCAGGGATGCTGAAAGAAAAGCTGCAAATGAGGTTAGCGCGCGCAATCCTCCTCTCTGCCCTTTTTTTCATTTTATTTTTTCCCTTTTAGTTTTTTCCATCTGGCTTACGCACGCCGGTCTGGGTCACACATGCATTAAACATTGCAGCGTGCATGTGAAGGCCGGGGCAGATTATCGTCGGCGGGAGCAAACTGATTTTTAAACACCTCGCCTGAGAGCAGCGAAAGAGAGTGGAGAGCGAGTATCGCTTGTGCGCTGAGCCTCTAATCCGATTTTCGATTTTGACTGGAGATGTTTTAACAAAAAGGGTTTTTTCACCTGCGACTGCGACAGGCACAGGCACTCGTCAGGGCAGTCTGGCACCAGACCTCGCACCTCCACCAACAACATCACCAGCAGAGCGGCCCACATTTTCTTCAGTCTACCTGAAATCACATAAAAATTGATCGCTTAAACCTTTTATTTTTACTTGCAGTCAATATTAATCAACGTTTTTGAGCATTTTAAAATAGAAGAATAGAATAACTAATATTTCATTATAATACTTTTTAATTTGATTCTTTTATTTTAATTTCTCCAATTTATTTTTCATGTCGTTTGGTGGTTTTTGTATTATTATTATATAAGACGAATTGAATAATAAAAAATGTTTAACAATGCCTTTTATCACAATTACCAAACTCAAGTGAAATAAAATTAGACAGAAGGTTCTCGGTAGATTTCATTGATTTAATTCCATGTGAACATTGATTTATTAAATCAAATCCTATGGTTTCATAGTGTTAATCTTTGTGAACACTGGTGAACACTTTAAATCCTGTTTAAAAAAGTTTTTCACTCTAGTTTTTGATTAAAATTTGGAAATTTCTCTGTCGACTAACCATAGTCATAGTTTTTTTGCCCTCTAATAATAATTTTAAATTATCTCAACCAAGATGAATTGCAAAATCAGATAAAAAAGTGAATTAATATTTATTCAATATTGATATTAATTTAATATTTAATCCTGTTAAAAACAAACCAAAATTTCATTTCTGTTTGTAACAAGTAATAAATTTTAGAAAAAAAAAATAATTAAAATGTGTAAATTTCATTGATTCTTTTGGAATAAAATGTGAGCAGATTTAGCAGTGGTTGCGCTCTCCCTGTTTTGTCCGCGTTCCCCCGCGAGCAATCCAAATTTCGGAATGCGTTTTCGGCCGCGGGTGATCAACGAGCTTGCAATGCAATCGAACGCGGCAATAAAATCGGAAGCTCGGCAGATTATTTATTCAGGCCTCCCTCCCGCTGGCGAACGGCAATAATAAAATGATGATGATGACACGGGGCAAAATTAAGTGCCGACGCCGGGGGGCGCGTTTTGTTAATCAAATAACACCCACAAATTATCGCGCCTCTTTATTAATTTTTGAGCGCGCCAAAATCGATGCTGCTGCGTCCGTTTGTAAATTTGATTGTTCGCAAAATTCGCTGCCGGCCGTGATTTGATTTCGCCGTAATTATTTCGTTCCCAACGCTCGCATGTTTCCTTCAGTGAAAAAACGACTGGCGACTTTTCCGTTTTGATTCAAAACTGTTGCTCATCAATTAAAAATGGAATAAAAAATTCATGAACTCTTAAGCCGGTAAAGGAAAAAAGCAAAGCTCTATGTTCGCATTCATTTCAATTAGTAAATTATTCTCTGTTATTCTCTAGTGAACAGTTTCATAAACACCTATACAGATATCATAAAATGAAATACTCAATCATTTCAAAGAAGTATATACAGTTAAAAGCACCTCAAATCTGAAAGTTTTTGTAAATCAATAAAAACCAAAAGATATACAGAAGGGAAATTTCAAAGTAATAATTTTAAAAAGATATGTATTGATTGAAATGCCAAATTTTTGTAAAGCATATTACCCATATAACAGTGTTTACTTCAGTTGTATATAAAAATTATAAACTAATTACTTAATAAGTTATTTGAATAACATTAAACCTCTTCAGTGCTCTCCACTCTCTTCGGCGTTAACCCTTCCTATTAGTTTTTTCTTCAATATGAATTGTGCAGATGAACATTTATTTTATGTATCATCTTTTTTCAAGAAAACGGCCAAATTTCTTAATGCAATCTTCCTCATTTTACTAAGCTTGGATTTCATTAATTTTAGTTTTTTTATAAGCCCTTCTGAAAATGTTTTCACCTTTTATTTATAAGAAAATTTTCTTATTAAAAAAATATTAATATAATATAAAAATATAATATAAAAATATAATATAAAAATTTAAAAAATTGTAGAGGAAAAATAGCTTAATCAATAGGTGAAAGATGTATTTATTAATTTTTTTTCTAAAATGTAATTATTTTACACAAGTAGGAATATTAAACAGTATACCTTTGTGTGTAGAGAATAAAATATTATTATTTTATGGTTTAACTTACTTAAGTTATTTTTGAGAAAACCCCCGCAGATTTGGATTTATGCTATACCTGTGTGACATTATCTGCTTTAAAATTGAGATGATTTGACTTTTTGTGAATAATCAATAAGAAATTAATACGAATTAAGATTTTTTTATCTTAAAAATTGATTGATCGAGAAGAAAAAATAATACATAAAATAAAAGAAGTCAAGTATAGAAACTAGAAAAATTGGAAAATTCAAGCAATCGAATTTCTAAAACTTTTAGTTGCAAAGAAAATTTTACTATCAATTAACCAGTTTATGGAACTGTATTTAATTAATAATGTAGAAAAACGCTTAATGAATTTATTAGAGACATAGTGCAGTTTCCAAATCTGTTTAAGAATTGAAAACGTTGCAGCTTGAGCGTAAAAAGATTTTTGCCATTTTTGTTTGGAGACAGGTTGGTCGGCGGCCGCACTTTGTCACGCCGCGAGCAGAACTAATTTTAATTACAAGCAAGTGGCGACGCTCAGCCATGCATCAAGTTAGTCATTTCCACACCTAGGCATTTGCATACATCGAATTTGCATAAATTAAAAAATCTCATCAGCAGGTCCTTTGTGGGCACGCGTGTGCGCCTGCAGGCCGCAAGAGGCTTCCTGCCTTTGTGTGCCTCTCTTAATCCAATTCCACCTGCAGCTTTCGCTCTCTTGTGCGCGCGAACGAAAATATTTGGCCTTTTTGCTGCCTTCATGTGTGCAACTTTGTCGGTCTTGTTAGACTTTCAAATCCGCCACTCGCAACAACACGCTGCGGCCAAAAATTGGTCGGCCACTTTTCAGTTGCTGGGCGGATTAAGCTCTTAGTGCGCCGACCGGTTTTAGCGCAGCGCGCTAATCTGCACCACACTTTTCCTTTTCCAGCTACACGAAAAATTAATTTATTAAAATTTCGTATGCTAACTTTTAGTGAGAATTTCAGTTTTGAAAAAAATTAAAACTATCAATTTATCTTTGAAATCGGAATTAGTTTTGGAAATTGCCAGCTGTTCTCAGAAAATTAATAGATTTCTTTATGCATAGTTTAAATAAAATTGAAACAAAATGTTGAAGCAGTTCACAATCTATGTGGAATTCATGAAACTCTGCTGACATGTGGCTTAGAAGAGCAGAAAATGCCTAATTTTGGCCAGGTAGAATAAAATCATTTTCTGACAACAAATTTGAATGCACAAAGAGTAGAAAGATGTTTTTAAATTTGATAGCTGCTTGAATTTAGATTCCAGTGAATAATTTTATTATAATTTATTACAATTCAAGTCAATCAAATTTTAAAACCTTCGCACTTATGAAATGTATATAGAAATGTTTTATTAGTTTTATTATTTCTGTTGAAATGAATTTTCCACGCGAGAAATTAAATTGAAAATTTATTTGTTAAAACCATATAAATTTGATTTAAGTGCGCACAGTGAGCCAGAAAAGTTTGCCCACCTGAAGAGCAAAGTTACTTTTTGCCCCTAGTTGCTTGTTCTCTTGCGGGGCGCATTAAATATTAAACGGATCCTAATAGCGGTTGGACAATAAAAAATTGCTCGGCGCTGAGCACACCCATCATCCCATTATATACATTATCGAGCGCCAAATCCAAACACCTGTTTCGCGCTTCTTGCCTTTGCATGGAATTTATTTGGCTGATTTAATGCATCGTTGGACGCTTTTATTGCTATTCAAATTCGGCCTCGCAGGGGAGTCGCGCGCGCGCAGCCCCACGGCCATATAATAGTGATAATTGCATTTCCATATAGTGACTTTCTCCAGGGCTCTTTTTGACTTTAAAATTAGCATGGTGCGGTGCGCGATAGCGATGGAACGGCCAGAAGTTGCTGCAGCATTCTGCAGGGGGGACCGAAACAATATCAAGATAACGTTACACAACTTTACAGTTGAGAAAGAGGAGATTTTTAAAAACATAATTTCAATTTGGGGCAGCTAAAAAAAGTACAATATTTTAAGACGAAAGCAATTTTGGCTCCTTAAAGTAAAATTATTTTTTTATTCTTATTTGCAATGAGAGAAATAATTATTTTTATTGTAGAATAAATTGTGACTTTAAAATCATGTGAAAAAAATTTTTAAACTTGAACACAAAAGCTTTTAAAACTTGGTGGGAGAGCAGTTTATGGTTTATTTGGATCTGAATTTCAAAAATAATATCAATGGTAGTAACATTTTAAAAGTTTCTAAAATGTATAATCGGGTTGAGAATTATAAAATTTTGCGAAATTTTGTAAAATTAAGGAAACATTGCTACTTAAAATTAGCATAGCTTTAATCACTTTAATTTAGTTTTGAAACATTTTTATTCAATTCATAAAAATGTTGTTGAAACTGATTTATTTGAAGCATAAAAATTTCATTCAAGCATTGAAGTATTTAAAAAAAAATATTCTTTAACAGAAATTATAAGATTAAGATATATTGAAACATTTTTATACTTCTCAATATACAAAATTGTGAATATAAAAATTATTCAAAAAAAGTACTCGTAGTTTTAAGTTGCGGACTGTGTAATGTGTAGTCAAATTATTCCATTATTATTCTCAGTATTGACTGTAGCATCAAATTGGCAGAAGGACTATTAGCAGGTCTTGTCGAGTGGAATACGCGTGATTATATTACAAGCGACTAGCTCGAGAGTGATGGATTAATTTCACGATTTGCTGCATTCCCGCTTGGGGATTTGAGTAATTGCGCTTCGAATTATCCTCTCGAGGTCGTCGGGTTTGAACTTAAAACTTGCAAGAATTTCACTCCGAGTCAGCAGAAACTTGCATTGTTTGCTTTTGGCAGGTGTGGCGTCGCATGCAAATGGAAATAAACATTTTGAACCGTATCAAAGCCAATAAGATGGTTATTCATGAGGTATCAAGAGCAAATCAAACAACGCCTCTGCCTTTATATTGGCGTCATTTGCATATTCTTGCCGAATAATTAATTGTTGCAGACAAAGGTACCCGTCGGCGCGTTTGTTG